AGAGCGGAGGCTGGCTGCCCTTTCATGTAAATCTTGGGTCAGATTTCTTCCCAGTTTTGCATATAGATAAGTCAATCAGCCTGCAAGTATCGGCTCTGAAAGTTGGCAAGACAAGGTTGGTGAGCCTCGTGCTTATGAAATCTCACCCCCTTCAGGATAGAGGGCGCCAGGAGGAGCGATCTCCAGGGACATCCAGCTAGGCCTGCAAGTCTCCAACCATTGCCCTGAACCTGGGATTGATCAGCCAGAACCCGGGGAAGAGCACCCTCCCCACTTCCCCAGACTGTCACGGATGGAGACGGCTTCCACCGCTTCCCAAGACCGGAGCCCATCCCTCAGGCAAGGACCTGAGACCCACACGGCCCCATGGAGTCCCACAAATGGGGCAGCTGGTTTGAACCCCTAGCACAGTGTGTCCCCTCCAGCTACCTGGACAGGACCCTTCCTATCTTCCTTCTATTTTCCAAGTACAGCTTTTCTTTCCCTCTGGGAATGTGTGCTTTCATTTTCAATCCGACTTCTGCTCAAGCAAGACCTCAAGCTCGCAAGCAAGCATTGGAGTCCACAGGTCCCAGGCCATGCTGGGTATCACAGTCAGATCCTGTCTCCAAGGGAAGAAGGGACAAGTCATGCTGGGTGTGGTGGCTGCCACCTGTAATTCCAGATTTTAGGAGGAGGCTGAGGCAGGAGGACATGCCGATTTGAGCCCAGACCAGGATACACAGTGAGCCTGAGTTGAGATTGTCACAACAAACCAACAAACTGCTTAATTAATTAAAAGAAGCACCAGGCCTGGTGGCTCACACCTGTAATCCTGCACTCTGGAGGCTGAGGCTGGAGGATTATCATGATTTGAGGCCTGCTTGGACTATATAGTGAGTTCAGGGCCAGCCTGGACTACATAGCAAGGCTGTGTCAGAAAAATAAAAACTCTCCGATGCATTCTATCTATCTATCTATCTATCTATCTATCTATCTATCTATCTATCTATATTGCACCAACATCTGAAATCAATCCTCCACCTCCTCAAACACGAACTCCCCCCAGGATCATTATCTTAGGCTTCTTGCAAGAATTCAACCATTCTGCTTGGATTGTGCCGAGGGCTCAAACAGACGTTGCTAAATTGGGCGCGATCTGAGAAGTCCCGCAGGCAGGCAGAATCCCGCGGATGATTTTAGAGGGCCACCCGTATTCCCCCAGCCCCTGACCTACAAAGCCTAGAAGTCACCCCCCACCCTGGCGTAATAACCTGCTTAATGAGTTGGAGGCCGAGAGCCCAGGGCACCTCCAGAAGAGGGAGGAGGGAGAGGAATCTGCAGGGAGGGGGGCGGTGTCCTGGGGTGCGGCTGGCCGAGCACACAGGGGAGCCAGTGTGTCTGAGCGGGGCGCAGGAACAGGGCCCCGGGGGCAGGCAGGACCGGCTTCCAGCGGCCTGTGTGGGCGGGGCCGCCCGGCCCAGCCTGGCGTTCCGGTCGGCCCGGTGTGGGGGCTGGGCTGGCGGAGGCCCTGGCGCCCGGGGCGGGGGCACCGGGCCCGGCCCTGCTCCAATTCCGCGTCGCCCGCTCGAGCCCAGCAGCCCGGGACGGGCGAGGGCCTGCAGCCCTTCCTGGGACGTGAGGCTGGTGCCTGCGTGTCCACCCGGCGTCCTGGGATTGTGCACAGCCCGCGGCAGGTGTTGTCTTCACCGGGCTTGTCCCTGGGGTTCCTGCAGGTCATGGGAACCTTCCTGGCCAAAGCAAACACGCGCCGCCCGCGCGAGCCTGCAGGACACACCCTGCTCTGCCAGGGAAGTCTCCCTAAGCCTGGAGCTCCTGAGGGCCGACCAAGAAACAGGCCCGCCGCGGGAGGACCGGGTGGAGGCTCCTTGGGGGACTGGGATGGAAGCCGAGGCAGGAGAACGGGCGCACAGACGTCGCCACATGTGTGCTCCGGCTCATACACAGGCTCTTTGTGCACCCACACCCACGTCCGCGTGGCGCATCCAGACAGGAGTGCACAAGCCCGGAACACCTCCCTAGGCGCACCCCACTTGGTCACACGCTCCGGACCACGGGAACCAGGCCTCAGGCACGTGTGCAACGCGTGTGCTCCACGTGCACTCAGGGCCTACCTCTGGAGCTAGGGATCTCCAGAACATGATGCCGTGGGTTTTCCAGGTTAAAGCATTTTATACAATCCTAGGTGTGTGTGCATTGCCTGAATCCCCCTCTGCAGTGTTTTGTTTCGCTTATGTAGCCCAGGCTGGCCTCAGACTTCTAATCCTCCTGCCTCAGCCTCCAGGGCTGGGATTACAGGTGCCCACGAGCTGTCCAACTTCCCTCTGTAGCCGGAACGCACCAGCTCACACTTAGATACAGTCCACCCACCCAGTTTCTCTCATCTGTCACACAAGTGCACCTCAGTACCCATAAATATGCTTACAGACATGCAGACCTCAATTCTTGTCGAAGTCATAGTTTAATATCCAGGTACATCTGGCCAGCATAAATAAACACATGCAGAGATTCACTCAGGTACTCGGTGTACATGCAGAAAACACACACAGCCAGCCATGACAGTGCACAGTTGTAATCTCAGCACTCAGGAAGCTGAGGCAGGAGGAGGCTTGTGAGTTCCAGGCCAGCCTGGGCTACATAGTGAGGCTGTTCAGAAAGAAAGCAAGCAAGTCTCACACACACGTGGCACGTGGTCCCCAGGTGAGGATAAGTGCTCACACACAGATCCATTCAAGTGTGCATCCATTCACACGTGCCCACTTTACCCGCATGAATATACTCAGAATATACATCCAATGGCAACATGTCATGCACTCCTGCCCGCTTGTCCCGCCCACGTATGCCCACTTCCGCACAGGCCTGGATAGACCTAGCCCTTGTACAAACACTAACCCCCATGCTGACACACAGGTGAGAGACACAGCAGTGGCTTTGACACAAAACTGCAATGGCTCAGACTGTAAATATGGACACCTGGGGCTCTAGGCATTTCCACGTACACCAGTAACACTGAGTGGCTGAAGGTTACATACTCAAATGTCTGCATACACAACACTTTCATGCACATTTAGATCCTCAGCACTCCCAAATACATTTGTGGGAGGACACAACTATGCAGTTCCTAGGCAAATACGCACACACTCATGAGTGCGTCCACTAGTAGAACAAACCGTCTTTTTATTTTTCTTTCCGAAACAGGGTCTCACTGTGTAGCCCAGGCAGCCCTCGAGCTCTTGAGGATCCTCCTGCCCCAGCCTCACCACACCCAGTTTACAAATTAAAATTTCTTCAACACTCATACCCACCTTCATGGTTTACAGATTTGGCAATCCTAGGCTCACACAATCTCCTGACATCCATAAACATAGGGATGTCACAATCATCCCCAGCACCTCCAGGGAATGGGCTCCGGACTCCCAACAGATGACCAAATTTTAGGGTGCTAAAGCCTGGGTAGACTATCCTACCACCTATGGGAGAAGTATTTGCTTAGAAAGTATCCATCCTCCTGGAGACTTGTCAGCATTTCCAGGTAACTTGTAACAATTATAAGGCTGGGCATGCTGGAAAATTAGGTGTTACATTGTATCATACAACTTCAGAGAACAGCCTCAAGAAAAGGGTCTGCACCATTGTTCAGTTCAGACAAAATATTTCTTTAATATTTCAACCTGTGTTTGATTGAGTCCTGGGACTCTGAATGTGCTGACATAAATGGCTAATCCTATACCCCCAAAATGCATTTAGAAAACTGCATCACCCCCCCCACACGCACCCAGTCACATTTACACACTTACATACAAATCCACGTAGATATAAGTCCGCCCTCACCCACTCAGCCCAAGTCCCCAACACATACTGCAGACAGCTTGAATGTTCATGAAGGGGTTTGTAAACGTATCCAGTGACAGCCACTTGAGCACACAGACGGAAGCGCCACTTCCTGCACAGATACGTCCCCGGCCACACCCTCCTACAACACACAAGCACATTTAGATTTGCACACACTTACTCACACCACCTATGGAGAGGTGCCCATACCCTCATCGCTCTTATTCTCAGTGTGCAAACACTGCTCAGTGTGGTGGTACACGCCTATCGGCCCCCCAGACAAAAGGCTGAGGCAGCCGGATCGCCACAAGTTCAAGGCCAGCCTGGGCTAAATAAAAAGAAAAAATAAATACACCTACATAACACATAATCTTTGTACATGTTTCTAATGTGCATCGAGATAGCACATATATGCACAGAATGTCCAAGATGCACACACTGTGGACCTGGATGGTCCCCAGTACCCTCAGCAAGCATCTAAATGCACTGAGGGATGCACACCCACGCACAGAGACTTTTTTTTTTTTTTTTTTTGCGGAACCGGGGATTGAAGTCAGGCCCTAGCACCTTTCAAGGAAGCGCTTATTCTACTGAGCCATCTCCCTGGCTCCAAGACTTTCTTTCTTTTTAAAATTTGTTTGTTTTGAGTCTTGGTTGACAGTTCATACTGGCCTTGAATTGGAGGTGATCCTTCTGCCTCAGCCTCCTGCGCACTGGGTGACAGGCGCGCACCACCACGCCGGGCCCGGCCTGAAGCCACACATTCTTGTACCCTCAGCAACACGGTCAGAACAGGAGCACCCCGTAGACGCCGGGGGAGGCTCACGGTACTCGGTGTGGGTGCCTGGGAGCACACCCAGACAAACGGCGGTGCCGGTGGTCTCCAGCGCTCCGGGCTTGGGCGTGCGCGCACACGAACACACACGCACGCACAGGCGCTCGCTCCTCCGCAGCACTCCTCCCTCCCTCCCGCCGCAGGCATCCCCCCCCACCTCCCTCCCGCCCGGGTCGCCGCCCCGCGGGTCCGAGCCGGGCGGGAGGAGGGGGGGTCCAGCTGAGCAGGGGCGGGGCTCACCTGGGCTCCGCCCCGGGGCGGGGCTGACGCAGCGTCGCGGCGCGGGCGGGCGCACCTGGCTCAGCTTCGCGGCGGGACCGGGCGGGGACGAGCGCGCGCAGCCGGCCGCGAGGAGGAGCGGAGCGGGGCGCAGCGCGGAGCCGGCGCCGCAGCCCGCGTCGCCATGGTGGAGGCGGCGCCCGCGGGGCCAGCGCCTCTGCGGAGGACCTTCCTGGTGCCCGAGATCAAGTCGCTGGACCAGTACGACTTCTCGCGGGCCAAGGCGGCGGCGAGCCTGGCGTGGGTGCTGCGGGCCGCGTTCGGGGGCGCAGGTACGGCGCGGGCCGGGGTCGCGGGCGCGGCGCGGCAGGTGCGGGGGGCGGGGCGCGGGAACAATAGCGCCAGCGTCGGGGTTCGGGGGCTCCCCCGTGTTCCTGGTGCTCTCAAACCCGCAGCGCCGGGGCCTCCGGGCTTCCTGCTCGGCCGGCGCGGTGTGGACTTTGCCCGCACGGCCGTCCGGGCGCAGTGGGGGTGGGGCCCGCTCTGCCGGGACCCCGGCTTCCCGGCCCCCAGGTGAGCGGGGCGGGGTCCGCGCGGGTTAGGGTCCTCTTTCGCCCCCGCCCTCCGCCGCGGTGGGACCTTGCACTGCACGCCCCTCTCCGCCTCCCCTCTGCACGCCCACATCACGCGCCTGCGGAGACCCCGAGCCCGCTGCCTCCCCGGTCCTGCCTGTGCTGCCGGTGGCGATCCGGGAGCGCTGGGAACCCCCACCCCCATTTGGCTTTCATGGCCCCGGCCGGCTGCTGGCAGCCAAGAGTTATTGCTTCATTTTACCAAACCCCATGGAAGGGAAATGGCCTGTCCAGGATCGCCCAGGGTGGGAGCTCCGGCTCCAGCGAGGCCTTTCCCATGGCCGCAGAGCCTCTGCTCCTCCTCTCAGGCCCGCAGATCTGGAGAACTCGGCCACGGCCGAGGGGAGCGTGCAGGCGCCTCCCCGATGGTAGAGGCCCCGTGAACCCTCGGCCCCACCAACCCCCAGGTCAGAGCTGGGAGTCCCGGCCTGGCTTTGGGGAACACAGGGATTAATTAAGGTCTGGGCCTTCCGGGGAGCTGTGGGGGATGCCCTCCCTTCCCGCGGAACAGCCCACTGGTCTTGGCACCGGCTGGGCATAGCCCCTCCCCTCCCCCTCTCCCAGTGGCCTTCCCAGACCAACCTGTTCTGGGTGTGGGTCCCAGTGACAGCTGGCCCTCACTGGCTTCCTCTCCAGCTCGCCCCTTCCACTTTTCTCAGGATCTGTCCTTCTGCATCTTGCTGTGAACGGCCTACTCGGACACCTGCCCACCCCAGGGTTCTGCTAGGTCAGGCGAAGACGGGCTAGGGGCCCTGGGTTGGGGCTTTGAGTGCTCTGCACCTCGCAGCCAAGGTTGCAAGCCCATAGACAGCTGGTTTTGCAAGTCAGAACTGAGTTTGCCTCCCAGCTCCTCTAGTGTATGGAAAAATGATCCCAATTCTCCCAGCTTCTGTTTCCCCCTCTGAATGGGCTTCCGTTCACTTATTTACCCACGCCTGAAAATGTCTGTGTGGGGTGCACCATGCAGATGGGTACCCTGGTACCCCATGGGCAAGGTTTTGGGGAATTATGAGTATGGTATGCATCATGGAGCAGGTGGCACACGGTTTGCACCAATGGATGGTTACTGTGGCTGCCTGTGAGATGGGTGGTGAGACTTGTATTGACACTATTACTCTTCATTCATTGTCCCTTGACCAGGGGACAAAGCAGAACTTACTGTTATTTCATAGAAAAGATGGAAGTTGGGCATGGAGGCACATGCCTGTAATCCCAACCCTCGGGAGGCTGAGGCAGGAGGATGGCTGTGAATTCCAGGACAGCCTGGACTACATAGTGAGACCCTATCTCAAAAAAACCAAAACAAAACAACAACAAAAAAAAAACCCTTCCACAAAAAAGAAGGGACTCTCTTGATGGGGGCTGGTAAGCTCCCGACACCCCCACTTCTTCCTAACTGACCTAGCTCACTGCGCTCTGAGAGCTGTCCGGCAGCTGCTGTGGCCTGAGGGTCCAGTTCAGTGTGTCTCTTGCCTGCCTGCCTGCCTGCCTGCCTGCCTGCCAGGGTGGTTGCAGGAAGTGAGGAGAATGGAGCTCTGCTAGACTCGTGCATTCTGGTACTTTACTGATGCCCATTAGGTGCCAGGGCCCTGGCAGGGCAGGAGAGGGGGATGGGTGTGAAATCAGATTAGGGCTTCTGCTGCTGATAGACTGATAAGATCTGTGTTGTGGGTGGCGGGGCAGACCCTTGAAGTCTTCTAGGAGGGGAGAGTGGAAGGCTGTGGAGAAGGACTTGTAGAATTCCTGGGAGTGGTTTCAGCTCCGGGGGTGTGGATCACCAGGAAATTTTCAAGAGCGCACAAGTCCCCAGGGGCAGTGGTCAAGGGGGCCTTGAGGACGGGGAGCCTGGGGCTGAGACGGTGACAGTGGGATGGTAGCAGGGTGGCCTTGACGGCAGGCTGTGCAGAGCCATGCAGGCGTGGCAGGCAGGTGGGCTCAACAGAGCTCTGTGATAAGATATGGGGTCTGTGAAGTTTGGGAAATCCCCCGTTCAGAACAGTAGCGCAGTGTGAGAGGGAGGTCAGATTCATGCGGGCACCGCTGCTGGTGACAGGCTGTGTGATCCTGGGGGCCTGGGTTTTCTTACCTACACAGTAGCATGAGAATGAGCTTCAGTCTCAGTCCCTGGGTATGGTGATACATACCTGTAATTCCAGCACTTGGGAGGCTGAGGCAGGCAGATCTTGAATTTGAGATCAGGCTGGGACTTCAATAACAAGTTCCAGGCTGGCCTGGGCCATGGAGCTAGAGCCTGTATGTGGTAGGATTTCACTGTTGTTTTTGGTATGAAGTCTTGGATCCAGTGTGTGTTTTATGTACACTGCACTTCAGGTGCTATTAGAATTCAGTGAAGGTCATGAAATAAACAAAGCCTAGCTGTACCTGTGAGTGAACCCCGGATCAGTACAGTGAGTACAGCCCTAACTCTTTTTCCCTTTTTAATGTGGAGGCCCAGGTGGTCTCGAGTTTGCAGTCCTCCTATTGCAGCCTCCTTGACTGCTGGGATTAGAAGTGTACTCGTGTGGTTACTGTGCTTTTGAAATGTGGCTGGCCAGAATTAATATGTGCAGTATGTGTGACATAGACCTTGAATCCAAGGCTTGCTTCCAGCACAGGACAATGTAGTAATGTTCTTATAGCGATCATTTTTTTTTTTTAAATTCAATTTTTAAAAAAATTTATGGGCTGGAGAGATGGCTCAGTGGTCTAAAGCACCTACTTGAAACAAGCTTGGCAAAGCACAAGGACCGCGGTTCAATCCTCCAGCACCACATGCCAGCCAGCCCCGCCCCCTGGTGGGCTGAGCTGGCCACACACACACACACACACACACACACACAAATAAATGTAATAAATAAAAATAAATATTTAAAAAAAATAAATAAAAATAAAGATAATTTATAAAAAAATTATTTATTTATGTGTGTGTGTGGGGGGGGCAGCTCAGCCCGCCTGGGGGCGGGGCTGGCTGGCATGTGGTGCTAGGGATTGAACCCTGGTCTCTGTGATTTGCTAAGCTTGTTCTAAGTAGGTGCTTTAGACCACTGAGCCATCTCACCAGCCCCAATCGATCATATTTTGAGAAATGATAATGCCTTGGAGATAAATTGGGTTGCATAAGCTGTATGATTAGTGTTCCCTGTTTCTACCTTTTTAATGTGGCTCCTAGAAAACTTAAAAACTATACAGTATAGAAAGGGTGATCAAAAAATGAATTTGGAAGTTAAAAAAATGTACGGTAATAAAAGATATAGTGCAATTCAATTACCTCAAAATAGCTTCCCTTAGAGGGGCTGGGGAGAGATTTTGGTGGTCTGAGTGCCTGCTTGGCAAGCTCAAGGACCCAGATTTGATCCCCAGTACCTCGTGCCCTGCTAGCCCCAAAACCGGGTGTGGTGGCGCATGCCTGTAATCCCAGCACTGGGGGAGGCTGAGACAGGAGGTTCACTGTGAGTCCAAGTTGCATAGTGAGACCCTGTACCAAATAAATAAAAGATTTAAAAAAAAATTTTTTTTTTAAATAGCTTCCCTCACTTTAAACACACTCTATTCTTTTCTCTGCTTTCTGAAGCAGCTTTGAAATCCTCTTTCATGAGTGTCTTCATGAGGTGTGATCAAAAGTTCAGGGGCTGGTGAGATAGCTCAGGGATAAAGTGCCTGCTTAGGCAAGTGTAGGCAAGCTCAGGGACTGCAGTTCGATTCCAATCCTGGGTTCAATCCCTAAATCCCTGACACTGCATGCTGCTCCAGCCCTGCCCCCAGGGTGGGATGAGCTGGCCAAAAAAAAAAAAAAAAGAAAGAAAGAAAGAAAGAAAGAAAGAAAGAAAGAAAGAGAAAAAGTACAGCCAGGGCGGCTCCTGGGGGCCACTGAGTGGAAAGCCAGGTGCATGGAGCGTCTCAGTGTGGCCTTCTTCACCAGACCTGGCACCAGAAGACTTCTGACTCCTCCACAGCATAAAACTGACTGTGAAAAGTCGACTTTTTTTTTTGCGGAACCAGGGATTGAACTCAGGTCCTTGCGCTTGCCTGGGAAGCGCTTATTCCACTGAGCCATCTCCCCAGCCCCTAAAGTCGACATTTTGAAATGATTCTGGACTCCAGGCACTGCAACAGCTAGCTGAAGACACTTGTGAGGAGGACACCTAGAGCCACTTCAGAAAGTTGCAGGAAGGATGGGCTGCGGGCCAAGTGTGTGTGTGTGGGGGGGGGGGGGATTTTGAGGGAGGCGATGCTGTTATTTTATTTACAGTAAAATAATTTTTTTTAGGCAGTCATCCTGCCTCAGCCTCCTGACTGCTGGGATTACAGTCCCTGTGCCACCATGCCCAGCTAATTTATAAATTTTTACTCTCAATATTCATTGCTTTTTTTTTTTTTTTTCTTTTTCTTTTGAGACACGATCTTGCTGTTCAGACTGGCTTTGAACTTGCTATGTAGCCCAGGCTGGCCTCAAATTCAGGTGATCCTCTTGCCTTGTCCTCCCAAGAGCTGGGATCATGGGTGTGTGCCGCCACACATCCCAGCAACACCTTTTTTTTTTTTTTTTGTGGTACTGGGGATTGAACTCAGGAACCTGCTCTTGCCAGGCGGGGCTATCTCCCCAGCCCCCTGCAACATTTGTTATATGTTTTGATCATGCTTATTTCTACTGGACAGCTCTGCTCTGTAAGACTGGTTCTCACTGGTGGCAGCTTTGTCTTTTGCTACTTTTGCTGCTGCTATTTTGTGGGCAGCCACCAAGGAGTTTGCTAACATCCTACAATGCACAGGAGAGCATCCCCCAGCACCTTTTGAGAGTAATCCAAAGACCAGTAGTGCCTACTGGGAGAAACTCCCGATAAACCTCGGCTCTCCACCGTCTTTGTTTATCTTGAAGGTTCTACAAAGTCCCAAAGGAAAGAAACTTGTTACATGTTTAGATTTGGGAGGTGTCAGGAAGTCGAAATTCCCTGACTGGTTGACTGTGGAGGAGGGAGGTGACCAAGGTGATTGTACCCTGAGATGGTGACAGCACTGGGGCTTGTGGGAGACACCTTAGTGCAGTGAGACACTGGACCAGGCTGCAGCAGGTGGCAGTCCTCAGATGGCTGTGCCCGTGCGGGTGGAGCACGGCCATTTCCGGGCAGATATTGGGCAGAAGAAGGGTTCTGGAAGAAGGTGACGCTGGGCAGAAAGCCCAGAGGCAACACAGACCCAGATGTACATGGGCTGTGAATTGACTGACGCCACTGGCTTTGAGGCAGGAATAAGAGGGCAGAAGCCAGGTCAGGGAGGTTGAGGCAGAGACAGGAGAGGGCAGGAGGAGGAGAGAGCGAGCCCTCAACACCCTTTGAAAACTTGCAGCTGAGAAGGGCCGAGCAAAGGTGTGACTCTGCACAGGGTGGGAAGGGCCAGTGCAGTTTTCAGGGTTGCGAAAGGGCCGAAGCCAAGGATTTCTGTGGAGGATCTCTGCGTCCTTGTGTCAAGGGTTCTTTTGGAGCCTGCTAGAAGAGGCAACTCTGGCGACCTCAGTTACCTTGTCCTCCCCCAACTCTTCCCAGCCTTCTCCTTCTCCTCTCCAGCGTGGGGTCCTGCTTGGAGCCCTCCCTCCAAGTCGGATTTATGTGGCTGCCTCTGTTCAGGGCCTCACCTCCCTAAGCCCCGGCTGTCAGGATGTCCCCATGGTACGTGTAGCAGACCTTGCTTAAGATTTGAATCTGTGTACTGGCGCCAAGAGCTGTGTGACGTTGAGCCACTTACCCCCTCTGTGCCTCCTCTGGAAAGCCCCTTTTCATCTGCCACACAGTTAACAGCAGTACTCTGGCCTCTTTCTAGTACTGACAAGGTGTCCATGAACCCAGCACCTAGCAGGCACGGGAAGGTTGTAATTGTGATTGGGAGTGTTCTTCCCTTTGCCAGAGGCCTACGAGATTCTGCTTAGCCAGGCTTAGGGGCTCCTTGCAGTACAGGGTTCTGTAATACGTCTTTGCCTCCGAAGTCCCCTTTGTCTGGGACAATGTCTCCTTCCTCGGGCGACTTGTCCACCCAGTCTTCCTCTCGGGCCTCGCTCCCTAGCCATGGTTACTGCTTGTGGCATGTGCGGTGGCCCTGACTGCCCTTCTCCTGCGCAGAGCACGTGCCCCCAGAGCTGTGGGAGCCCTTCTACACGGACCAGTATGCGCAGGAGCACGTGAAGCCCCCAGTCACCCGGCTGCTGTTGTCTGCCGAGCTCTACTGCCGGGCCTGGCGCCAGGCGCTGCCGCAGCTTGAGGCCCCTCCTAACCCATCCGCACTGCTGGCCCTGCTGTCTCGGAGGGGCACGGTGCCCTCACTACCTGATCGACCAGTGCGGGAGGCGGACCTGAGACACCAGCCTATTCTCATGGTAGGCCCGCCCCTGCCCATTAAGCCCTGCCCACTAGGCCTGGCTCCTCCCCTTGACATGGAACCCTAAGACCAAGCCTGACCCACCAAGCCTAGCCCCACCTATCAATCTGCCCTCTCCTACCAACCCCCGCCCCTCCCCCTTAGTAGGTTCCACCCTAATAGCCTACCCCACCTGCCAAGCATGACTCCGCCTATCAGACCTAGCCCTCCCACCAAGCCTACCTTCTTCAGGCTCCACCCATGAGGTATAGTCCCTCTCCTAAGCCTAGCTGGGCCCTTCAGTAGGCTCCACCAATTACACCTCCCTCCTCCCCTTAAGCTCCGCGCACTAGGCCTAACTCCTTCCAAGCCTAGTTTTACCTATCAGACCAGAGCTTCCTGTACCAATCCTAGTTCCTCCCACCAAGCCTGCTTTCCTAGGCTCCACTCATCACATGTAGCCCCCCTCACCAGCCCTAGCTCCTCCTACCAAGCCTTTCCTGGGCTTCATTCACCAGATATAGCCCCTCCCATCAGCTCTAGCTCCTCCCACCAAGCCTTTCCTGGGTTTCATTCATCAGGTGTAGCTCCTCCTACCAGCCCTAGCTCCTCCCACCTAGCCTTGCCAGGGCTTCATTCATCAGATGTAGCCCCGCCCGCCAACCCTAGCCCCTCCCTCCAGGCCTGGTCCTTCTCCCTAAGATTCATAAGGGTCCTTGAAGACCTCCCTACCTAGCCCTCTATCCTAGGCCTGTGAGCCCAGCCCATCCTGTGTGGCTTTTCATTCTCGCCTGCTTTCTGTCCTCAAGGCCCCACCCACTAGTCACTGGTCTGGCCCACTTTGCCTGGGGAGGCCAGGGGAGTAGGGCCTTGTCTGCTGGCCTCACCCACTGGCCCTCGCTCCCATAGGGAGCCCACCTGGCTGTCATAGATGCCCTCATGGTGGCCTTCGCCTTTGAGTGGACGAAGACCTTGCCGGGTCCCTTGGCTCTGCCCAGCTTGGAGCACAAACTGCTGTTCTGGGTGGAAACGGTAGGTGGCACGGCACCAGGGTGGGAAGGCCCTGGGTGGTGAGGTGACCTTGGCTGGCTGACTTCTCTCTGGTCCATAGACCGTCCGGAGGCTGCAGGAGAAAACCGAGCAAGAGGCCACCCAGCGTGCGTCTCCTGCTGCCCCTGCCGACGGGGCAGCACCGGCGCAGCCCTCGGTGAGGCTGGGTTGGTGGACGGAGGGTGCTCAGGCCACTGGCTCATGGCAGAGGGCAGGGCGGTGGGGCTGGGCTGTGGCTCCTGGCCCGTCCTGAGATGGGGGTCTGGAGGTGACTTCTATCTCTCTCTCTCTCTCCCTTTTTTTTCTCTGCCCTGCCCCCTGCTCCGGCCCCTGCTGTCCCCTTTCTGCCTCTCTGGCATCAGTGTCCCACACGCTGGTATTGGAAGCTGGTCCCTGTAAGTGGGGCTGTCTGTCGCCCTGTCTGCCCGCCCTGCTTGTTGCTCTGTGTCCATGTGTGCATTCCGCCTGCCTGTCTGCACCCTCCCTTCTCCCACAGCTGTGAGCAAAGGAGTTGGAACCCGTCCCTGGGGATGGGGAAGGGAGGGACCCAGCAAGAGAAGGGGGAGGGATCTGGGCGATGCACAGAGGGCAGATCCCAGCCCACAGTGTGCAAGTTTCCCATTAATCACGAGGGAAAAACAAAACAAAACAACAACAACAACAAAAAACCTGTTATAAACTATTAGAAAGGGGCTGGGGAGATAGCTCAGTAGAATAAGTGCTTGCCTGGCAAGCACAAGGGCCTGAGTTCAATCCCCGGTTCCGGGAAAAAAAAAAAAAACAACTGTTAATCATGAGGGCAGATGCCCTCACTGTAGCTAGAGGGAGGTACCCTTGGAGCCAGTCCCCAGACAGCTTGGTGGGGCCCCCACTCCACCGGATGTGTGGATCCTGACCACGGTAGCATGCACACATGGACAAGATCTCCCTAGCTAAGAGAAAGACCCCCCTCAAACCCAGAAGAAGATAGAAGCAATTTCTTAACTCAGACCTTCAGTTTCCCTAAGGGGTAAAAAACCCAGTTGTAAAAGGAGGCCTGATCTGTAAGTTTTAAGCTCTCATTGCTCTCTTCCCTCAATAAGCTGTGTGACCTTACACAAGTGTCTAAACCTCTCTGTGCTTCCTAGAATTCATCCCTGCAGCAGATAAGGGGAAAGTGCAGGAAGAGTTGGGCTGGGCGAGTCCCAACCTTTGCTCACTCCTTTCCCCTCACCCTGGGGTCTGGGCTTGGGGGGGAGGCACCTTCCCTGCCTACCTGCTTCCTCTGCGTCCTCTCCCCAAGCCAGGGGCTGCGTCTGTTCTGGGAGGAGGGGTCCCTGCATGGGAGGCTGCTCTGTGGGGTCCCTCAGGGCTGGGAGGAGCTGGGGTCCCTAAAGCCGGCCAGAGCACAGTCAGGGAACTGGATGGCTAGGACAGGGGTCAGGACTCCTCCCCCAGAGTGGGCTTTGGGGCCTGGCAGGTCAGCTCCCCTCCCCGTGCTGACAGCCGCTCCTCTCCCCCCAGCACGCAATTGCCTTCTGTTTGAAGGAGTCGGGGAGCAAACCCCCCATGGTAATGTATCCCCCGCTCAGGGGTCCCAGGAGTCCCTGTCCCCGGTCCCCGCCGCTGGTTGGCTGCTCGCAGATGCCTCCTTGCCTCGCTGCCGTCCCTCCCTGCTCCAGGCTGGCCCCCCTCCATCCTGGCTCTGGGGCCCCCGGCTTCCTGCCCCCTCGCAGCAGAAACCCCAGGCCTCCCACCCCCCAGCCTGCATGCCCTCAGACCTGGGGGCCGGCCCTGTCGCTCATCCTGCCTCCTGTCCACAGATCCGCTACCGCAAGGACCGCGCCGTGGCCCGACGAGCCCCCTGCTTCCCATCTGTGACCACCATCCAGGACCTGGCCAGCGGTGCTGCGCTGGCCGCCACTATCCACTGTTACTGCCCCCAGCTGTTACGTCTTGAGGGTGAGCAGAGGGTCGGCCCCGACCCTGGGTGCTGAGGTTGTAGGTCCCAAGCTCCAGGGAGACCGCGAATGAGCAGTAATTATTACAAATGCAACTCAGAGTCCACAGATCCGGATTTGTGTCTCCCTTTCTCTTCTGATTAGCTCTGCAACCTTGCCCAAGTGTCTGAACCTCTCTGTGCTTCATGGAATTCTCTCCTGCAGTAGGATTTTGTGCCAGACCCAGGCCTGGGCTAGGTGCCAGGGATCCTGTGAGACCGATAGAGGCATGTTTCTGACCTCACAGACTGTGTGTAACATAATCACTGGAGGGAGAAACAGTAAATTCTATTACAGGTTCCTTGTGGATTAGGTGACCGGGGGCAGTGAATACGTAGGAGAATTTTTTGAGTTGAGATCTCTGTCTGTCTGCTGGCTGACTGGCTCTCGCTCTCTCTCTCTCTCTCTCTCTCTCTCTCTCTCTCTCTCTCTCTCTCTCTCT